GATTAGGTCACCAATAGGAAGATCCCAGGCAAGAAAATCCTAATTGCCTCATGGCAATATAGACATTAATTTAAAAATAATTAAATGTATATTTCAAACTCTTAATTAAACTCTATCCATAATATTATGTTAAAATAGTGGATGTTAAATAGGTTTGTACAATAAGTCCGAACAAGTTTAACCAAAAAATATTTATTTAACACAATTATGAAGGCTGGAGGGTTTGGATTAGGGTCATTAATGTGGGCCACCAGTCACGATAAAATCAGTAACAGGTCAGTTTGAAATAAAAGACACTAACCTGTCAAAATTCTGTTCAATTTTGGGGTCTTTGTTTTTATCCTTGTGGTATCGAAAATTGTATCGAGTATCGAATATTTTCCTGAGTATCTACATCGAGTTGAAATTTTTAGTATCGTGACAACCCTAGTAGCCGGTCTGTCTGTTATAGTTATGAGCTGCTGAGCTCATTTAATAATGTTATTTAATAATGTTATTAAATAAATCATTTCTGATTTGTAACATCCCACTCAAACCGATTGAAACCCAGAATTCCCGGCTTTGCATTTGTACTTAAATGCACAGAGTCTGAGACTCAAGGAGCCGTTTGAAACAGGAAGTGATCACATCTGTGAGTTTGGAGGTAAAAATCGGCGGGAAATCTTGGTGTTTTGTGTGCCCGTGTGGGTTTTTCTGGCCCAGAGTCCAGCTCAGAGTGGTTCAAACACAGGTGGAAACACACCCAGTCGGTTCTGAGTCGGTTCCATTTAACCTGAGTAGTGTTGTGCTTGGATGTTACCATTGCAGAGTTAAAGAAATGCACGACTCTTTGTTTTCTGGTTGCCAAGGCTGTAGGAAAGCTCTCATTCAAGGTTTGTAACCCCCTATCCCGTCCCCATCCCTCACTGATCTACTCGCTCTGCAGCCTTCAAACTTCCCAGCATGCTGGGAGGAATACTAATAAAGCCAAGAGTGGTTTTGTTTGCATATTTTCTCTAAAAGACTCGCATTAACCCCTTCAGCACTAAAGTTTGATAAAACCCGAGGCCTGTTTTGTTATTTCGGCTGCAAAAAGGGGACAAAAACACACCATGAGGGATCACTTTTTTTCCCCTTTTTTACCCCAATATTTTAAAGATATTTTTATTAATATCAGTTGAGACTAAAAACTACACAGTTTTTAATGATTTTGATTCAGTAGAAACTGGAAATCAACACAAACAGGAAATATTGTCTATTACAAACGTGGTTGTTTTAGAGCCTAAGATTTACAAATATCATCATTTTTATGAGAAATGCCTGCATTTATGCCTGCCTTATAGGCTTATATTCTGCCTCTGGATCAAGTACAGTAAGTACAGGAGAGGTAAGATAAGCTAATAATGATAATAATTTGCCTACTTTTTTGGATGAAAACATGTTGAACAGCAGAGTAATAGCAGAGATAAAAGAGATGCATTAACTGAGTTAGTAGAAACAAAATTAAAGTGCTTTTGCCAGTAAAAACAGCTCAATATTGTTACAGATCCTTAAGAAACTGAGCTGTAGGATTATGGAGCTTATTCAAACTGTTGAGACATGAGCTGAACAGCCGTTTTCCAGTTTTAGAGCTCCGGCTGAATTCCTGTATTTCCTGAATCTGCTCTCCCTCATTCGGGAAAGTCGAGTACTTCAAACATATTCCTGCTTTCACCCCAAAAGTGACATTTTTGGAGCGAGGCTCAAACCAAAATGACATTGTTGAGGCGGCCCAACGAGCACCCAGCGGACTTCTCTTTCATTCTTCTTCTCCATCCGTAATTTAGAGGAGAGGCAGAAATTTTGGTAACTGCGGCGTCCAAGAGGAGATATTTCACATTTTTATGTGACCTTTTTATGTTTTTTCCCCGCCAGAAATGTTCCCTCTCACACCACAAATGTCGTTTTTTTTTTTTAGAAGTGATGATCTGTGTGGTTGTGTGTCCTCAGGAGGAGATCCTGTACCAGTACCCGGTGTGTGAAGCCTCCAGGCATCTTAAAGGAGTGAGGGGAATCTTCCTCACGCTGTCCGACATGCTGGAGGGCGTCACGGGGGGGCGCATCCTCAGGTAGGGGTCCGGCCACTTTGACCCTCCGGTCCTTTAACCCTGTAATGCCAAATGTGTCATATTTGATTCATACGGTTTCTGAAATGTTTTGCGTATAACACCTTTTGCATAATTTAATGTTAAAAACTTTGCTCAAAATCCTATTGTACACAATCAGATACACCTGATAACAGGGGGCAGAAGACTACACAAAAAATAATCTTGACTTATCGCATAGTAATCAATTAATAATATAAAAAATGTATTTCTGTTTTTTCTTTTTACATATTTTGTTAAAAGGCCAAATAAGGAATTCAAACCAAAAAAAAGTAATTTTCTGTTTTGTTTTCTTCTTGGTTCAGGCTTTAAAGGGTTAATATCACAGCAGACGCTGCTCCTTAAACATTTCTTTTAAGATTTTTAACCCTTTAGACCAGTGGTCCCCAACCCCCGGGCCGCCGGACCCCCAAGTAATAATTCATTTGTTTTATTCTATTATTGGATTTATACTGAGTTGGAATAATCTTTCATTTTGTAAAACCTTTTATTTTGAAAAATAACCGCATTCTCTCGGTCACTTGAGCGCCCAAAATTTAACCCACAAGTTAGAAAAATGAGTAAAAAACAGACGTCTTTGGAAAGTTTCTTTTCGAAGGGGAAAATGGCCTAAGAAGAGACAGAGGAAAAGCCTCCCACTCTGAAGAAAATAAAAGCTTTAAAAAGACAATAGAAGGAGTACTAGTTGAAATATGGATCTATTCCCACAGACTGAGGACACTAAGGAGGCAACCAACCATCCAAAAATTAAGAGACAAGCCCCTGGAGGGTTTTTTTTTTTTTATTGTGTTTATTGAATTTTCCCCAAAAAATTCACATAAAAGTCACATAAATGTAAAAGTCACATAAATGGCCCCTTGAGGGTTTTGAAAGAAAAAATAAAGCTGTATACGAGTACACAGTGGATTGACGTTCACTATTATATTACAATGATAAAAAGGTTGGGGACCACTGGTTTAGACGACTCAGTTTGTGAGAGATTCTCCAGTTTGACGTGTTTGTATTAAATCTGGGGAGATGGGAGTGAGACGGTTTGGATAAAACACGTTTTTCGGTGAGGTTTTGATCCCGTTTGTCGCCTTTCCTCTGACTCCTGTCGGCCCTCAGCTCGTCTCTGCTGCTGGGAAAACATCTGGTGCACGTCGGCTACTGGAAGGACGG